TGCACACACATGCAGAATTATCATATTCGAGCATTTCCCAAACTGAGAAGTGACATATCAAGGGATGCCTTACCGTCGTCTAGAGGGGACGTCTTCGCAGCAATGTTTTTCGTCCTGCGCATTCAGTCCGCCGACGCGACAGAGTTTACGGGGCCGTTCCAGTTGCAGAAGACATTCGATTCATCGGGCCAGTGCAGCAACAGGGCCGTGGGCACACAGGGGCAGAGGAAAGACATTGTGAGTGGACAGGAAATATGCAGTGGCAAGTGCCATGAATGTCAAGTTCTCATTTCTGAGCTATTACTTACAGTCCTGCCATTGCTCGCTCGTCCTGATTCCTCCTCTTTCGTCTGCGTCCACTTCTGCCGTTCTCCTCCCCGTCACGGCGTCAGGTCAGTGCATTCTCATTAATTTCTCAATGGCACAGTCTTTTCGGGACGGGGGGTACCGGAAGGAGTTCGCACGATGCCTCCAAAGGCCTAGAGCGGACGTCTTTGCAGCAATATTTTTCGTCGGCGGACGGGACAGCGTTTACGGGACCGTTCCAGTTGCAGAAGACATTCATCAATGGCACTTTGCGGTACGGGGTACCGGAAGGAGTTCGCACCATGTCTCCAAAGGCCTAGAACAGACGTCTCTGCAGCAATATTTTTCGTTCTGTGCATTCAGCCCGCCGACGCGACAGCGTTTACGGGGTCGTTCCACTTGCAGAAGACATTCATCGATCATCAATGGCACTTTGCGGTACGGGGGTGCCGGAAGGAGTTCCCACGATGTCTCCAAAGGCCTAGAGCGAACGTCTTTGCAGCAATTCTTTTTGCCCTGCGCATTCAGTCCGCCTACGCGACAGCGTTTACGGGGCGTTCCAGGTTGAGAAGACATTCATCAATGGCACTTTGCGGTACGGGGTACGGAAAAGGGCCTCCTCGTTCGACTTCTGCAGTTCTCCTTCCCGTCATGTCAGGGGTACCGAAAGGGGCCTCCTCGTTCGTCTTCGTCGACTTCTGCAGCTCTCGACTATTTCGCGTACGCGACATCGACGCTTACCGAGTGGCATTGGCACAAAGCAGACCGCTGACGGGGTCACGTGTCAAAAAAGTATCAACAACGTGTCGACAATGTGTCGACCACGTGTATAGCGGTACACTCAGCGGTACACTAATTCTCGTGCCATTCTCGTGTCACAAAACTGGAACATCGAGTACCAGTATGGAAAGGCTTCAGACAGGAAGCCTTTCCAATGTACATGAATGTTGTATACTAGAAAGCTCATAATAAGACTCGTATCCAGCCACCGTGCAAACGGAGAAGATTTTTCGCGATATTTTTGTTGTCTTTAGGCGGCGTTGTTAGCGATGGACCTAAGTGACAGTAAAGGTATAATGGAGTTATACTGCCTGGAGACTTTTCTATTGTTACATGCACGTATTACTATCTTTATCTTCCAATTAGAGAATTTTTCGAAACCCCTCCGGCAAGCAACTACCCGTACATGCAGGTATTCTCTCATCCGTAGAGTCTAAGATCGGGCACTGAACATACATTTAACTTGATCAGTAAACTCTGAATCACACATACGTTTGCAAGGGGAAGTGCCAGAGATCTGGCATATGGCGTCACTGTTTCCACAGTTTTTTTTGTGAAAGAGTAGTAATACTTCCACTCAGGAAACTCACCAATGGGGTGTGCCTGGTAGACGGCGTTCCCCGTGACTGTGAGGTCCGTATAAGATTAAGGGCGCGTTCGAATTGTCACTCTTTGACTTTTTGAGGAGTTTCGTTTTTCTGAAGAGGTGGGCTTATTGGCCTCTTCAGAAAAACGAACTTCCTCGAAACTCCACAACTTCACCCGATGGGAGAGGTGGATTAGTTTCGAAGAGTTTGGAATAACTATGTCACGTAATGTGGGGAGATGGTCGATCTGATCGGACGTCATCATCGCCATGCATGACAATTCCACTGAAAAACTCTAAAATGATAGAGACCGTTCTAATGGGACACCTCAAATAATCTCTTTATAAAATTTGTTTGAACAGTTGATGACGACAATTCGAACGCGCCCTAAGAGAGATACGAGTCTACATGATTGTATTCAGTAGAACCATGGTGATAGGTCGTTGGTGTTGGTGCAAGGTTGTTGGCAACGCTATTGAAACAATACTTCAAAGTAAGTACATTATAGTAAATTTGAATTGGCACGTCCGCGTTACGGCCGACTATACAATTGTGTTGAGAAACACCTACTTCAAAGGAGTGTAAGGATAATCTTCGTAGTCGGGAGAACAATTTAATTATCGCAATAAAAAGGGCACACTCGTGACTGCACACAGATATTCTATTTTATACATCAAGGTAAAATACGTTTACAACCAGTGGAAATATTTCGGTAAACATGATATTTTCAATCGTCTCGCACTCACCGTGAATAGCAACTGGCATAGTCCGACAAGAAGAAGTAAATGCCGCAGGCCGGCAGGAAAAGACCAGAGTTTGCACAGCCAACGAAGCATTGTAGCAGGCCGAACTGAAATGGTATACATATACACTGCTCACTACGTTGAAGAAACAAGTGGATGGCTACGTCGAACGTTCAACATGTATTTAGTCTCGGGTCGCACATCCTTAATATTTATAAGACATAAGACCAGAAGGAACTTCAGTAGTTCGACGCACATTCTGTGTTATCGCTAAAATGTCGCTTTCGTTCAATCTGAAAATTTGTGAGCTACACTAGTACTTGCGAACACTACAGTCTACACCTGCGAACAGTGGGCTGCGCTGAAATGATTCACTCAACACGACTTATCACACAAGGCCAGAAGGAACTTCAGTAGCTCGAGGCACATTCTGTGTTATTGCTAACATGTCGCATTCGTTCAATCTGAAAATTTGTGAGCTACACCTGCGAACACTGGGCTGCGCTGAAATGATTCACTCAACACGACTTATCACACAAGGCTAGAAGGAACTTCAGTAGCTCGAGGTACATTCTGTGTTATTGCTAAAATGTCGCTTTCGTTCAATCTGAAAATTTGTGAACTACACCTGCGAACACGTACACTGGGCTGCGCTGAAATGATTCACTCAACACGACTTCTAGTTCTCACACAGCATCGCCGACCGGGCTAGTTAGTACTACATGTGGTAGGGGTTGTGGTGTAGGTGCCAAGCAGAACTGAATGGACAAAACAAAATTAAATTTTAATAATTGAATAAAAACATGAACACGATACAGTCAAGTGTCAAGTCGGCGGAATAGCGCGAGTCGATCGTGCGTCAGGAGTCAGGACTCAGAAGCCGAACTGCTAACCGTGTCTCGAAAATACTTCAAAAACAGTAGACTAGCCCTCTACACGCCGACCGTCGAAAATAGCGTGAACGGTAAAATGCTAACCATGTGATGTCTAATAGTAATACCTAAAAAACGATACAGTAAGCTGCGAAATGATGCAAGGCGCAAAGTAATACCGGTACTTGAATGGGTGATATGGGACTGGATTTCATTGAGCAGCACTGCACTGTCTGTGTCATGTACAGTACCTTCACCATGCTCACTACAGTAGCTACATGCTGATCCACGTTTTAGTTCTGCGGCGCATGAAATGCAAAGCACGACGAGGTGTATCGTGTAATCACCATCATGACACGTGACGTAGGTCTACTCTGCACCAGATCAGACTCAGAGTCATTCACATGACTGTGTTGATAACTATAACTCTCAGTCTCACACTGCCAGTGACAACAACACTCACTTCAGGGTCCTGACAAAAGATCTTGTGAGTTGATTGCCTTGTACAGTGCTAACTTTACTTGTCTTCTTGGGGCCCGCGCTGCGTCTGTGGTGGGCGAGTGCGGACAACGATTTCCGCTGTGGAAATACAGTTGCACTAGGTGAAATCCGACCCAAAGTGCAAAGCTCATTGCAGCAGTACATCAGATTAAAATCAGATCAAATTTTGTTAATCCAGCACCCTTCCTAACCCAGCGTGGTTTTCGTAGCACAATTGGTCCTAGATTATAAAGGTTGAAGTATAGCAATAAGCAGAACCAGCTGAAGCGCGCGTCGTTTCACGAAGGTTTTATTGAGATGTCACGAACAAATCCTAGAGAAAGTGGTGATGGACAAAGAGACAACTGTGATGGGAACTTCGTGAAATGACGCTTCAGCTGGTTCTGTTTATTACAATCCTTAACCTTTTGTCACCTCGCCTCCTTTTCAGATTAGCCCTTGTTCTGACAAGTTGGTATTGTCAAGCCCATGAACAAATACACAGTATAGGTGGAATGTTGAGATAGTGGAACTTACTCCTCTTTCTAAGACGTTGTGACCTGGCACCCAAACCCACACAAACCAGTTTTCCATCTAGTTCAGTGCAACGTGGCACATGGTGGTACTTTAATCACACTGGATTACCATGCCAGGCTACATTATGGCTGGTAGAACCGCAGGGAGGCGTTTTCGATTGGTCCGGTAGTATCAGTGTCTTCCATACTTTGTGTATGATATTGCAGGTACATAATTATACCCTCCACAGTAGTAAACACGTGCTGATGGCCACAAGGTTGGTGGGGTGGTAATCTGACAAACCCGACCGGTTCCGGGGGCCTGGCTGGGGAGGGAAATGTGTCACTGCGTGTCAGCGATATCTACGAGATGAGCAAGAGATGCCTCTTTACCATGCTCTACAGTTTGTATGAACGTGAGACCTGTCAACATTGTTGTAAGCCGACCGCTCAAGGGACCTTACAAATATGGCTCCAGTGTACAGGTGGTCGCTTCGTCCAGGGTTATTTGACTGTTAATACATGTAGCATGCCTTAGTCTTTGTTTCAAGTGGTCTTCTGGGACAGGCAGTCGCCTTATCAGATTGGTTGCCTTGGCAGGTGTAATCATGGTACATTATAGTGTATGTGAATCCCCCCCCCCCCCCACAACCACACACACACACTCTATAATTATGTTAACATTGCTATTCGCCTCGAACATTTCAACACGGTCCATCAGAACAGAAGTCCACAATCGAGCTCCCGCAGAAATCACAACTACGGTACTTGCAAAGTCTCAAACGCTCAGCATGTTGGTTTATTCGGAAAGCACATGGTGTTAAAAAATACGCTTAGCTAGAGTTGAAAAACGATGGGCAATCGAAAGCCGTTTGCTTCTTCACATGTTCTGCACACATCTGTGGAGAGTGTCCAAACACAACCAGCTAAGTACAAGTAAGTAAGCAGCAGCGCTCAGCCCTTGAACATTCTGCATCCATTTCACCACAACTACCATGTACCGTTACGCTCTTCGGTCGACCACGCATTGCCCACAACAGCAACAAGAGGTTCCTTCATCGCACTGAAATAAATAAAATATTATCAGTACTACAAAGAAACCTCTGGTTGCTGTTGCGGGGAATGCCTGGTCGGTCGCAGAGTCCAACGGTGGTGGTGGTGAAGTGGACGCAGCTAAATCAAGTTTGATCAACTCAAGAATCCGTAGGCAGTTTTCTATTCAAAATACGCGGCAGTGCAATGGAAAGCATCCACTGACACCCACAGTGCATAGATCACACAGTTAAGAGCCATGTAGTACATCTGAAATTTCAGCACGCCATGACTGTAGCATGAGATCGCAGCAATGCCAACAGCGACGCTCAGGAGAGACGGCAAAAATCCCACATACCTTCCCCGTAGCCTGCAGCGCATGATTGCTAGAATGAAGTTGATGGCAGCGGTAGTACCTACGACGGCTAGCACGAAATGGTCGCTTTGCTGTTGTTGCAATAACGGAGGAGCCTCGACTGTTTCCGCCACACATGGACTGGCCTGCAGTTAGGAGATGGCAGTAGTTGTGTGTGTATGTGTGATTGTGTGTGTATGTGTGTATGTGTGTGTGTGTGTGTGTGTGTGTATGTGTGTATGTGTGTGTGTGTGTGTGTGTGTGTGTGTGTGTGTGTGTGTATGTGTGTGTGTGTGTGTGTGTGTGTGTGTGTGTGTGCGGGTGTATGTGTGCGTGTGTGTGCGGGTGCATGTGTGTGTGTGTGTGTGTGTGTGTGTGTGTGTGTGTGTGTGTGTGTGTGTGTGTGTGTGTGTGTGTGTGTGTGTGTGTGTGTGCGTGTGTGCGTGTATGTGAGTGTTTTTGTGTGTGTATGTGTGTGTGTGTGTGTGTGTGTGTGTGTGTGCGGGTGTATGTGTGCGTGTGTGTGCGGGTGCATGTGTGTGTGTGTGTGTGTGTGTGTGTGTGTGTGTGTGTGTGTGTGTGTGTGTGTGTGTGTGTGCGGGTGTGTGTGTGTGTGCGTGTGCGTGCGTGTATCCGGGTTATTGGTGACGCTAGCGTTACTAACACGTTGTCTACAGTACTGTCGGGTACCAAGGAAATGGCGGATCAGCTTCGGTTTCATTCATTTCAGACGCACTCACCTTGAACAGCAATTGGCCTAGTCCGACAAGAACAGGTGAATGCCGCTGGCCGGCAGGAAACGGCCTGAGTCTGCACAGCCAACGAAGCATTGTAGCAAGTCGAACTGCAACGGTATACTCTGCACGTCACCCCTGCAAGTGGATGGCTATGTCGAACTTTCTATTTTAGTCTCGGGTCACACATACCCTTAGTTTATAGAGCTAAGCGGCCAGAAAGAACTTCAGCCGAGTTCGAGGCATATTGTGTGGTATCAAAAAAATGTCGATTTCATTCAATCTGAACTACCGGTACCCACACGCTCAGTTCTCTCCTCACATGTACAGTACGTTGCGCACCGCATGAAATGGACCCAAGACTAGAGAGGATCAGCATCATAATGTGACTGTGCACCAGATCAGACTGATTCACGCGACGAGCATTTCATCTGAGCTCGATGACTGTCGGGAACACGACAGGTCACCGCGAGACAGCTCACAGCGCGACAACTCACAGCCGACAGCTCACAGTGTCGTCAACTCACAGCCAAGACAACTCACAGTGTCGTCAACTCACAGCGAGACAAGTCACAGCCAAGACAACTCACAGCCACCCCAGCTCACAGCGCGACAATTCACAGCCACACCGCGATCGGCTGCGGGTTCAGAACATTCCGCCGAACCCAGGCACACTGCAAGACCTCCAGTTGCCGGAGCGCTATCAAGAAACGAAGGGTGGGGACGTCTTCCTTCTCTACGACAGTGGACCGGAAACTGTGGACAACAGAATTATTGTGTTCTGTACTGCAAGTTTTTGTCTACCATCGACTGTGTCATCATCCCACAATTTGGAAATTCCTGGATGGTATTTTTGTCGAGCAGGCAATGGTGGAGCAGTGTGTGGAGAGGGAAAATGCAGGCTATGAGGCTCCGAAGAAGAGGAGGAAGTATGAAGATCAGGACAAGCGACTTCGTGCCATACTCCGGTCTCCAGTTGCCGGAGCGCTATCAAGAAACGAAGGGTGGGGACGTCTTCCTTCTCTACGACAGTGGACCGGAAACTGTGGACAACAGAATTATTGTGTTCTGTACTGCAAGTTTTTGTCTACCATCGACTGTGTCATCATCCCACAATTTGGAAATTCCTGGATGGTATTTTTGTCGAGCAGGCAATGGTGGAGCAGTGTGTGGAGAGGGAAAATGCAGGCTATGAGGCTCCGAAGAAAATGCAGGCTATGAGGCTCCGAAGAAGAGGAGGAAGTATGAAGATCAGGACAAGCGACTTCGTGCCATACTCCGGTCGTTTGAGACCATGACGAAGGATGAGTTTCTATGAGGAGTTGCTGCGAACTTGGCATTTCATATAATTATGTGATTCTTACAGGAAATTTCAAGGTTATTTTTATTTTATCTTATATTTTAACTTAATTTTCATTACTGTCTTCTTCTTGTTCAGGCTTTGTCTTCTTTATCGATTAAAGTTCTCTGTTATTTTCTTGTGAAAAGAAGAAGGACAAAATGTTACGAGTTATGACTAAGTGTCCACATTTTGTCGCACTCGCTGACTGTATAAGATCTCGTTACGTTGGTGGACAGTTAGTCATAACTCGTAACATTTTGGCCCTCTTCTTTTCAGAATTGTTTAATTGGCTCACCATCCGAGTTACATGTTATTTTCTTCTTTGCATTACATGTAAATAGAGAAGTGCCGAGAACGTCGCGTTATTATTATAATATACATTGTAGGTTTTTACAAGGACCAACCCCTACAGACTCCAGGTCTTCATTGCACCATTACATAAAATAAGGACGCTGTGAGTTGCCTCGCTGTGAGTTGTCGACACTGTGAGTTGTCGCGCAGTGAGTTGTCTTGGTTGTGAGTTGTCTTGACTGTGAGTTGACGACGCTGTGAGTTGTCTCGCTGTGACTTGTCTCGCTGTGAGTTGTCGCGCTGTGAGCTGTCTCGCTGTGACCTGTCGTAGACCCGTCACATCGTCAGTGACAAAAGCACTCAGCGCAGGGTCCTGAGATCTTGTTAGTTGATTCGGCTTGTACACAATGTTCTTTGTAGGGCCTGAGCCGCATCTGCGGTGGGCAAATGCAGCCAACGCTTCGCGGCGCAGTGGCAACCGGTTGCGTATGACCAGCAATCTCAAGGTAAACAGCCAAAATTATAGGAATACTTGAAGTGTATCGAACACATCCCTTCATTCGTGCTCATCGCGCTTTGAGTTTTCAGCCCGGCCTTCTGCCAAACGTAGACCAACGCACAACAGGCTGGACTGCCTCTTGTGGAAAGACCAACCCAGGGTGTGTTTAGAATTCAAAATCGCATTGTGACATTTGAATGAACAGCGCAGAATTTCTGCTTCCTCTCCAGCAATGCGGTCGTCCACAATATGCAATAGGGACGCATCTTTGGCCAGCTGCAGAGGTCTATGGATGTCAGTCGTGGTATGGGCGTACCTTGGCTGTGTAAGTCGAAGCATGATAGCCAATTCGTAGTGTCAATGTCACGAGCCATGTCTGAAACATGATCTATTACTAACAATTTTCATGGGAACGGAAGCTTCATCGGCCAAACAGCAAGTTTGTAAACTATTATATTATTGGATTGATAATCATTATGTAGATAGGTAGAGTGAAAGTTGGTGATGCAGAGAGACAGGCGGACATGCAGACATACAGAAGTCGGTAGGCTTGACGGGTGGGTGGATGAGCGAGTGAGGGAGAGCACGACAGAGATAATTATAAAGAGGGAAATAAGGAAAGGGACATGGTAGAGAGGGCAGTTAGGGAGAGAGGAGAGGATGAATGCAAAGATCACCTGGCAATCAAAGACTCAGAGTAAGTGAAAAATTCAATTAGTGAGAGAGAATGAGAGAGAGAATACAGACTAGCAGAACTTGAAAGGAAAAGAGAGAGAGAGAGAGAGAGAGAGAGAGAGAGAGAGAGAGAGAGAGAGAGAGAGAAAGAAAGGAGAGAAAGGCTCAGAGAAGCTCACAGACAGAGACTCGTTGAGGGGGAGGGAGAGAAAGAGCGACACTATGCGAGAGAAAAGGGGGAGAGAGCGGGTGTTAGAGAGAGTGTACTTCAATTATGTATGTATGTAGGTGGGTGTGAGAGAGAGAGAGAGAGGGGGGGGGGGTAAGGGGAAAGAGACGACAGAGAAAACTATAATAATATTATTATTATTATAGATACTTGAGAAAGAATGACCTCGGATGGAGAGCCAAGGATTATTTATAAAAAGTAAAAAGGAGCATGAGCTGATGTTTTAGTAACTGGTAGTGTTAGTGGACATTATAGTGTAACTTGTAGTTCCTTGGTCCTTTTTGCTTTTTATAAATACTGGAGAAAGAGTCAGATATTATAGGGTACGAAAAAGAGGGCAAATATCACAACCCACGTACCCAACCTTAATGTAATCTGATTGAGGTGATCTTACCCATGTTACCTGTCCCATCGTTCTCTCAGGTTACACCATGTCTGGCAGAAAACGCTCACGCAAAACGGATCGGAGAAGACACTGATCCGTTCGTACTGGAGTTGTTGGCATTACCATAGTGATGAACGGGGTCTTCGCTTTGCAACGCTGTAGGATATGCGACAGGGGTCTTCCGTTCATTCCGTTTCTTTGCTGTACTGTTGGTTTGGTGACGACTTGTTGCTATAGCGATAGAGTGGTGGCATTTCAAATGTTCTTCGGCTATCTGCTTGTCAATTTTGTGCTTCTTGGAATAGGTTTACTTCGAAGCAAGTTGTAAAAAGCTTATAGAAAGTAAATGGACCAAGGAACTACAAGTTAATATAGCACATCTTAGATGTGCACTCCAACAGCCTTCCAACTTGGAAGGTTCTAAGATATAATTATGTAGTTCCTTGGTCCTATTACATAGCATTCTTTTCGAATCTCAAGTGTGTGTAGCATTCTTTTCTATAAATTTGTCCTTACCTCTCCATCGGTAGAATATCCCCAAGTAAAGTTTTTTGTAACTGCCCTTTTTAACCGAGGTCTGTATCAGTTTATTCGGTGAAGGAATGCTCTACTGCAGCCAGATCCTCTCTTATTGCTTTCAACCCTGCTGTTCTGGAATGGTTCCTGTTTTAACACTGCGCCCTACCTCACATACATTGTATTCTGGTACATGTATCAACACTTGTTGTTGGTTGACAGCATGTTACAAGGAGGAGGACCACTGTGTTCGGAAACAATGACCTTACTACGACCAGCCACGGTTGGGAGAGCTGGCGAGCTGAGAGAGGGACTCCATGGGCGGAAGTTGGAAGCATGAAGAAAAGAGTAAATAAAGAGACGAAAGAAGAACAATTCTGAACAAACGCTACAAAGATTATAAGGACGGAGTATCAAGAGGATTCAAGAAGACATCCAGGAGCGAACAAAGAATAAACAACTGACATTACAATAACAAGAAGACTCAAACAACTCCCTTGTAGAATGGGGGTCAGAACCAGGGCTAACACCCATACGTTCAAATGGTCGCAAGACCGGGGCTGTGCCAACCGCGGATGGTTGTAGTAAGTTCACAGTTTCCGTCCGAACACAGTGGTCCTCCACCTTGTTACATACTGTTCACCAACAACATGATTATTATCCACAAAACAAGGTTTATCTAATACCTTGTACATGTACATCTATGAATGTCTGTGTTGTCGGCATCACGTATGGTGGCCTAGACAGTAACACTCACACGACAAAGAAGATGCAGTAAAAGTTGGTTGACGGAGCATCGGAGAACATGAGACTGGATTCATCCTGAAATTAATACTTTGTTTGGAGCGCACCGTGAAAAGCAGGTGTTTATCATGCTACGGGATCACGGGGAGGGGTGATCGGGATGCAAACCACCTCCACTGATGACGCAATCCCAAATCCTCTGTGCATGTTCTCTATATACAGTCAACTTCGCCAATAACGACATTCGGCGGGGCAACAGAAAAGTGTCCTTATTCACGAAGTGTCCTTATAACCGAAGTCCCATTTGAATGTATGTGAACCCATATTTTGTATAGTATGACATGCATATCAAAATCAAGCTCTTTTCTTGCTCTATGTCAATGTGTACTTTATTTTCATATTGCAGTTGAAAGGAACTAAAAATTCAATATGCAAGGGAAATCAATTGAAAAATATGCCTTTTTGAGCCATCTACAGGGCCAGAGACATGTACATGTATGATGATTTCTGTACAATCATGTACAACTACATGTACATTGTATACATATAGGTGTGCTGGTAAATCCAACAATTTTGAAGCCAACATAAAAAAGGAAGAAAAAGCCCCCCTTGGCTGCATTTTCTTGCATGTGTGCCTTTATAATAAT